TTTTTGAGAGTCAAGCCTATAATAATTAATTAAGCAAATTAATAATAAGTTTTAAAATGTTTACCTCACCTTTATTTTTAATAAATATTTTCCTTATTCATTATTTGTCTTATTTGCGTGTATTTGTGTTGGGTATTTGAACTTTAGGGTAGAAGATTTTGTTATATCATGTGTGTTGTTTGTTTCGCAGATTGGGTAGTTTAGGATTACTCCCTTCACACACTTCACCTATACACTTTCACACACGTTTATGAGCGAGGTCCTATGCCCGGACTTGAGTGCAACCTAGGATAAGTAAGAGGTCGAGTAGTGATAACCTTCTAGATGTACATCTTGTTTGGTTATCATGAAGGCCTCACCTAGAGTTCAATCCTTTCAAGGGTATTATCACTTCTAATAGTTTACCTATTGTTGTGATTGATATTCTAAAAAGGGGTTATTGGCTCTAGAAACCTGTTATAGAACTATAGAACCACCTATTGTGAGGAACACATATTAATGGCCCTATAGCCTTTTATTGTTAGGAGAATCCTTCATAAGATGGAAGGGGATCAATATTCTACCTCTGTAGTCAAATAACATAACCTATGCACAAAATAAAGAAACTCTCTCGTTCTTTCTTCCTTTACTACATCATTTTATAACAAGTATCATGCATTGCGCATAGCGCATTGACCACTGGAAGGTTTGAGCATTAATTGCGCCGGGCTTACCATCTGCCACGCCCGGCATCACACCAGAAAGGGCAAACCTTTGGTTTTTACTGATATGGCGCCCGGCGTGGGTAATTTCACGCCCGGCGCGACCGCGCGAATGCCTTAACCTCTCAACTTCCTCTCCCACGTTTTCACTTCTCATTCTCCTTCTCCCCTGTCTCCAACTTCCGTTTTCCCAACTCTTCTCCACCTCAAGGGCACGCGGCTTTCTTTCTTCCTCCACGCACTCCACCTCCAGTAGGTTCACACTCAACCTTTTCTTGCTTGGTTTTGCATTTTTTCCTCTTCTTTTTGGGATTTTGGGGTGTTGTTTTGGGTGCAACCATGCCA